GAACCGACCTTCGAATCTCTTCACCCAACACTTCCACTCGAAATGGAAGTAAGCTCAACAATTATGAAACGAGAGATTCCTCGAAACCCAACTTTTCTTCGTATATATGACCCTTATTATACCCTCCCTACAGATCTGCCTGTCCAGTCAAGTGAAATTTTGACTTTTACAACCTGCACAATTTGGCTGTTTGGGTAACATTTTAGGCTGGAAAGACTAAATCATAAATGCTGTCGTATTTACTAGTTAATAGAAGGACGAGGTATAATTTTCCAACTACAATCAGGTTGCGATTAGTGTGAGGGAATCTTCAAGTGATAGTATTGTAGCATTGAAATTCATTTTTATCAGAAATGATTATGAATTTTGGCAATTGTTTCGATCCCAATAAACATATGTGACAAAATATCTTTAAAATAGTGCAATTATTTCCCCTTTACTCATCCCAATATAATAGCTATGGATAATTCAAAAGTAGTAAAAACCAAAGACTTTTAGCAAGGAAAGCGGTACAATAGAGAAGTCATCAATATATGTTGGTTAAGCAGTCGCAATTAAGATGTCATGATTGCTGAAAAAATGTTACATTTACATTGAGAGTGGAGATCCCATCGGTAGTTCCAATATTTTTTGACCAGGTCTATGATCAAACTGTTAGCCAATTAGCTCTAGTCTCCAAAGCGTCTATCTCATTTCTATCTATACTAACAAGTGTTTGACTTCTCCTGCCCTAGTCTCTTATAGGCCAACCCACAAATGTTGTGGTTCTACATCGAACCTAATCAAAACAAGTAGAACGATTATATGTTGGCTAAGCAGTCGCCTATGCAAAATTTCCCTCCAAGTAGTATGCTTTAAATGCGACGATTGTTCTTTGATCCATGGGCGGCAATTAAGATGTCGCGTTTGCTGGCAGAAATATTTTATTTACATTATCTCACAGATCCATCACTGCAAAACTTCTAGTCGTAAGATGGCTTTCAAATCGCATAAAGTATATGCCGATTAGGGTTTTTCTCTTGTTCTATCTACTTGCTTTAACATATTCCGTACCGTTGGTTCATGAAGTAGATCCTCTATTCCAATTGTAAAATTGCTTTTATTGCATCCAATTTGTGATATAATGCAATCAACAATCGCCTCTTTTTCTACTTCCAACATTCAATTTAACATTATTCCCTTTGTCCATATTTGTAAAAGCAACGTTTTACACTTTTCGATCCACCTTACGGCATACAGCAAACGAGATGGCGTGACAAATATCGACACATGCTTAAAGGACCATGGTCCAACGATAACGGATGCATCTGCTCTGCTGCACTGTAATCTTGAACACTAACGACTGAAATTTGGTTTATATCACATGCGGCCTTGTGTCAAGTTGTAACCTATACCAAATCGAATTTAGCACTATTCCTACTCGTATTACTTGCCACCAGCATGCATACTAGTCACTATTGGAATATGATATTTATTTGAAATTTTTCGTTCGAAAGTGAACGATGAAAGCTTCTTAGGTCAATCACAACCGCCGAATATGATCGCTTTCTTTTTTATCTGTAGTTAACCTCTCATAAGGCATTCGTATTGAAGCAATCAATATGCCATCTACGTGCAAGTAATATAGCTGCATTAAAAGCTTCTTTCTGTCATGCGAATTGGTAGGCACCATCGAAGATGTAGTGACTTCGTATAGCATCTTCAAGCTTATAATGAGTCAAAAATATTGCCCGGATATTCTTCAAATACTTATATTCGTAAGAATACTCAAGCAACAGCAGGTGCAAGAATATTGTGATAAATCTTTTTATAATCCTTCCTTATTGATGCACGTGAGTGTGTGTCCATATGCATGTGAGGTGATACTAAACGACAATGATAATTTCAAGTGATGAGATTAACGCAAAACTTTAGTCACAAGCTCGCAAATGTTTTAATAGCCTTTTTCTATCGTATCTAGTTGGCTCAGGGGACTGATGGCCCATTTCTAAAACGTGATTGGTGTCGCTGCTTAGATACCTACGTCTGTGCTCAGAAAATTCTTCAATTCAGCCAAACCACTGTCCGGCATTACTTACACTTGATACCTTCTAACTAAGGAATCAGTATTCTTAACTCATCACTTGAAGATATCACTTTAATTTCCAATGTTCGCACATGCATACACAGACGTATACACACACTCACGTACATCAGCATGTATAAACAATGTAATGAAGTAACCAAATATATGTACGTCTTTTGTAGATACGAAGAGTAACTAAGTTTCGATATATATAGCGCATTGCTTGTGCATATAACATGGAAAGTTTGGCCTTAGAGTTTTCTTAATATTTCACAGGCACCCCAGCTCGGATGAGATCCATCAACTGACATGACCGATTAAAGCTTAGCACATTTAATTGGAAGCTAAGGATGGTGTATTGATGACTGCATACATCAAAAGTTGTAAACCAGACGAAGACCTTCATCTGATTTTGCGGAGATCTACCAACAAAGCTCTTTTTAACGACGTAAATTCTACACTTATTAACCAAGAGATTCCTCGAAATTCAGGCCTTATTCATGCATGCAATTTTTTCACAGCCTACATTATTATATAAATTATGATAATGCATATTATAAGGTCCATTTCAATACGAGAATTGGCAGATTTCATGAAAATGTTCACACTTTGTGTTTTAGCATCCAATTTTGCCTATATCGCTCAGAAACAGCTTAGCTATATCTACAATTAAGTAGCTATTTACGAAAGATTATTTGAATCAATTTTTTTTGTATTTCAAAGTACTTTCCATTATAGACAATAAATGTTACCCTTATTTCCTCTTTACATTTGTCCTGTTCCATAAACATCATGATTGCGTCAAGTTAGATGTAAATTTAAATATTTGTCCCAAATTACTTTTATTAAACTCAAAACATGAGCAAAAGGCATTAAATCTAAAGCTGGTACAATGGGATTAGGGTACAGTAAATGATAGAACTTCTATTTAAGCCTCTTGAATTGAAAGTGCTTTCTTGAGAGTTGTCAATAGGAAGGTATAGAAAAAGGATAAATGAAGTTTTCTAGCTATGCTGTCTGCGTTTGTGGCGAAATGAACTGTCAGGCATTTTTCGGTTACTAATTGGTTTTAAGTCACTTTGGCTAGTTCAACTGTTACCTTAGGTCATTACAACGGACAATAGTTTGCGTTATAGTTAACCATTTCTTGCGAGTCTATATGTATTTCCCTTTCAGGCATTATCTTTACTCAGACAAGTGATAAAATAGAAATTAGCAAAAATTTTGTTTAGGAGTTTTGGATAATTTTGGCTGTGATCTTAATGAATGAGATTTTTACGGATGAAATAAAGACCTAAATTTCTTTCAATAGGACATGGGACGTTGCCTTGGAAAGTATGTGGTCGTTTTCAACTGCTCTGATCAGATGGACTTTCGTGGTCTTGGTCGAATTTTCAAGGGTCTTGCACAGTCCGGCACATGGGGCTGTTTCGACGAGTTCAATCGGATCGAGTTGCCCGTCCTCTCGGTTGCCGCCCAACAAATTGCCATCATTCTTTACGCCAAACGGGATGGTCGAACTCAATTCATCTTCATGGACGGTGACAATGTAGACATGAACCCGGAGTTTGGTATCTTCCTTACTATGGTAGGCAGCACTGGTAATATAGTGTTTTAGAATTTTTCTATCTAATATATATATATATATATATATATATGCATATGTATATATAGTATGATGTGCAACGTCTATAATGTTATCAATATACCGACATGGCTTCGGGGCCAAGAGCATGTCACATTTTTGTTATGAGATTTACAATGAAGCATTTTTATATTTGTCATTAAACTGAGCCATATCACTTATATTCAGAATAAATAGCTCATTATATTACCAGCGGATCTTGAATATATGTACTTTAGGTCGTTTAAGTCAAGATAAGATGTCAAAATTTTCCCATACAATATATATGAGCTGATTTACAATAAGTTTATAAAACCTACTGAAAATAAAATGTAAGTAGTGTTAATGATTTCTATAGCAAATATAGGTTTGCTTCATCGACAATCCTACCACAGAATGTGATATTGAAAAATGCCTGGCCTTCTTTGGAATTCACATCTACTCTTTGACTCAAGGGAACTCGTGGCATGGCATCAAGATAATACTCTGCAGTATCATGTATCTAGTCCCCCTGGTTGAAACGATCGAGGTGAGGCCGATACAGCAGATAGTGCAACGTCTAGATCGAGATGCTACCAACAGACCTTACAGCCACTAATGCAAACAAACATAGCTTTGAGGCCTAGAGAATATCACATTTTTCTTGAGATATTTACAATGGAACATTCTTGTATTTGTCTTCAAACTGGACCATATTACTTATGCTCGTAATGAGTAGTTCACCATGTTACCAGTAGAATTTAGGTGGCATATGATAAGATAATATATTAAAATTTTCCCACATTAAATGAGTAGATCTCACGCTGCCAATAAAGTTCACTTAGCTGTACTTTTCATTGTGAAAAAATTAAACAATCATTTCCTCATCAGATACTGCGAATCATACAAAGTCTGGTTGTAATTTCTAAATGTCCTGAATACTCATTTAGGGTTAAGTAAAATTCATGGGCATTCCGAGACCTATTCATCTGTTTGTAGTAATCCTCAACTATAGACCCTTTAATCACTTGGGGTGACCAACGCTGACTAAGTTCTTTGTAAAGAAAACAGATCACTTGATGAGGTGAAATCAATCGTCTCTCTCGATAGTTAGTGTTGCCAGCCAGAACGGCAGTCGCCTCCTGTTATCGAATTGCCTCCAGTTTGGTAGATACCGATTCTGTTGCTGGTTGGCTTTGAGTGAAAGAGCGACTTCTAAGAGGCAGTGCCATCGGTGGTTTAAGTGTCTCGTCTCTAGTGGACCTGTAGTTGAAGTCCTTTTTTCGGCTTACCCATTTTTTTCTTATGTACATTTTTCTTATCTTCCCATTTATTTAACTCTCCATAATTCCCATTCTACACTTTGCCATGTTCTTCAACTTTCCCTTGAGTCAGAATCCCGGCTATGCAGGAAGGCAGGAGCTACCTGAGAACTTGAAAATCAATT